ATCCTTGCCGTTTTTTTTTGCCTGCAAGTGGAGGGAGGGATAAGCGGGGGCGAGGTGCCGGAGAGGGGGGGGGGCGGGGGGCGGAAGAAAAAAGGTGGCGGGGGAAGGGGAGGATGGACGCCTGGGATGGAAACCGAACGTAGTCTGCATGTGTGTCTGGATTCTTTGTTTGGGAACGTTGGAGTATGTATAAATCCTTGCCGCTTTCTTTGCCTGCACGTGTATTGAATCTTTGATGGAATTTTCAATTTTAAGAATCTTTCGACCCCCTAATTTCGCATATGGAGGCCTTAAAATTAGGGGGGGGGTCGAAAGTTTCTTAAAATTGACTGGGTCAGTCTTGTAAATGCAATTTGTTGTGTTCGGTGACTGTTGTGAAGCCATTCACAGCCTCTTCTTTCTTTCTTTTCCTAAAAAGGAAAACCAGGGTGCTGTCATGGTTTCAATTTGAAAATGCTCTTCGCGAACGTTGTGCCAAAGCAAGGAAAAATAGTGAATGTATACAACCCAGTTTCAGGGTCGGGTGGGGATGTGTTGTATTCGAGGGATGCCGGAACTGGATTTTTTGAAAGGGATGTGTTGTATTCGAGGGATGCCGGAACTGGATTTTTTGAAATTGAAATCGTGACTGCGCCCTAGTTACCCTCGATTTTTTTTTTTTAATTTCCTTTTCATTTTCAAAAGGGGGATGAATTGAGATATCACTGAACTGACCAGCCACAGGTAATTCAGATTTATTTGAAGTTATTTGAACTTTTTTTTTTTTTTTTTTTTTTTTTTAATTGGTTGGTGGAACTACCGTGGTAGATTAGAATTAGTTCCATCTGGATTCGAACGCAGATCTGCACTTGAGCAGCTCATGGTGTACCGACTGAGTTAGGCCCATTGGTGCACAGTTTTTTTTTTTTTTTTTTTTTTTTTAGAGAGTTTTCTATATTCAGTTTTCCATGTCAGGTGGGAGAAAAAATAAATGGCTGTCCCCCGATGAGGAGAAGGCAGCCTAAAAAAAAAATCAGTTTTCCCTGTCGTCGAAAGAAGAAAGGCGTTGAGGAATTCCCAGTGAATTCACCGGCCACAGCCTCACTTTTCTTGATAATAAAATGAGCCGAGTTTCTTTGGAAAAAAAAAAAAAAAAAAGAGGTGTTAAACTGATCACACATTGCCCCTTGGGTGCCAGGGGTCTGACTTATAGCCATTGACTCTTCCATCTGGGGGAACCTTGACCCTCCACTCTCCTTCTGGAGTAGTCTCGAGTCTCGAATCCTCCGACGCCGCGGTCTGACTAAACCGTTGAATTTTTTGCCTGGGAGCCTTGACCCTTGGCTGTCCTAGTCCGACCTGGGGACTCTTGGCTGTCCTAGTCCCACCTGGGGACCCTTGGCTGTCCCAGTCCCACCTGGGGACCCTCGGCTGTCCCAGTCCCACCTGGGGACCTTTGGCTGTCCCAGTCCCACCTGGGGACCCTTGGCTGTCCTACCTGGGGACCCTTGACCATCGACTCTCCTTCTGCTGGACCCTTGGCTGTCCTACCTGGGGATAGGGACACACATATAAACTGTTGATAAACAGATCAAGGGTTCAAACTTCAAAGCCTGATCGATACAATAACTTCAGGGGCGATTCCCCACACAAGAGAGAGAGAGAGAGAGAGAGAGAGAGAGAGAGCACTAAAGGTCCCAGGGCAGTGTTTCTTGGATGCTCTGCTTCTCAAACTTCCAAGTGCTGAACCCTTCTCTCTTTTTTTTTTTTCTTTTTTTCTTTTTTTGAGAACATCTGATCAGGCAACTACTGATCAGGCTGTAGGAGCCTCTGTCCAGTTGGAGCCTGCCCATTTAGATGGCTCCATTGAATCCATTCTATTGGTGGGGAGCTGCACCTGTCGGAAAACGCATCCAACGTCCCGTGTACATGATGAAAAGTTGTGATGACTTGGCTATTTGGCTATTTGGCTATATTGGATTGTGCAGGAGGTGATTGAGCACCTGCTGAAAATACGGACTCGCAACCAGATTCACGCAGAGAGTGAGATAAACATCTTGGCCTGCTGCCACGACTTGTATGTCGCCCAGATTGGGGAGCACGTTGACGACAACGAGAAGTTTCATGGAGTTTACGTCAAGCTGGGTCCGACATTTGACATGCGAGGAACTTGTCCAGGTATTCATAAATACAGGTTTGTATTTTTTTGAAATTTGGAATTGGAAATTGGAAATTGGAAATTTGAAATTCACCAGAAGCAAACTTCTCCCCCGCAACATTTGATTGAAGAATTATGAGTCATACTATAGAAATAAAAATCAGAATTATTTATTCAATGAATCAGTTACACAAGTAAACTTTAATAAAGTCATATTATTTTTTCAATGAAATGAATTAAAAAAAATCTATAGATATATAGAATCATAGATAGATATAGATATAGAATACTCTCCCCTCCCCCCTCCCCCCTTCCCCCCCCCCCTCTCCTAGTCCCCCTTTTTGGTGAGGCCAGGGGGTCACGGTAGGGGGAAGTGTTAATGCTGCAACAACAACTTGCAGGGTAGGAGATCTGCATTTCTAAATTTTGTTGCATGCAGCAGGTTTTTTTTTTTTTTTTTTTTTTCCCTCCTACTTTTTGTAGAAAAGCAAATTGGGCCATTTCTCGACTTATGCATGTCATCCTTGCTTGCACAGGGGCCGTGTGTCATTGCGAGGAGGGCTCTGTGTCGTTGCAATTTTGACGGATGTTCCCAAAGACCTCCTGACTAGTAATCTTTGGGTTCATTTTTTTTTTTTTTTTTTAAAGAAAAAAAAAAGTATATATTCCGTACCCTCATTATCATCGTACAAAGTCCTACAAACCTTCAGGTCCTTTGTTTTTTCAACTTTTTGGAAAAAAAAGGCAAAAAAAAAAAAAATGAAAGACCGACAGACAGACTGACTGACCTTCCGGAAACAGAGACTGAGCTTGCAGAGAGGGTGGGTTCTTAACTTCTCACCAAATGTGAAAAACGAGAATGAATCTTCTGCTAGAACATGGAAAGATGCACCACAATTTTTTTATTTTTTTTCTTTTGTTCATGTGGTGAGCGGTCCAGCGACACCCTCTATGCGGGTAATTCGAGCTACTGACGGCATACTCACACCACGACTTTCCTGTCTGTATCTGACCACAATTACGGCCAGACCTGGATGATGAATCTGACTGCAATCTCTAACAATACATCCTACTGACTTCGAGAAAGTCTCACGGTCGTTGCCGGTTCGAGACCAGACAGGACCAACTTGCGTCTGAAAAGTCATACTCCTACCTACGGCGCCAAAGCACATTCGTTCGAAACCACACTGGGCCGAACTACCGGCCCGTCACAAATACTCCAATATATTCTACAAAGGTCCCCGGTTCGAGGCCTCATTCGCTAAACCCAAGTATCATCTAAACCCATCTAGTCAGAAGCAAACTACACACGAAAAAGTGTAGTTCATGTCTTTACCAACTGAGCCGCGGTGACATCCTTT